AAGAAAAATAAAAACCAAAGGCTACAGCAATACACACAAAGCAAGAACACAGAACTAGAACTAACCATGGCTCTCCTTGGAAGTCTGTGATACTGTCCAAACAAAACTAGCAAAATTACAGAGGCGACAGTGGTGCGGTGGGTATAGCAGTCGTCTCCAACCAGAAGGTTGAAGGTTCGAATCTCGGTGCCAGCAGTCCACGTGACAAAGTGTCCTTGGGCAAGATATTGAATTCCCCCCCATTGCCCCGATGGTTAGAGCCATCGGTTGAGTTGGCACCACAGATGGCTGCCATCGGTTGTGTACCGGAAACAAATTTCTTGTGTGTAACATACTTGGTCAATAAAGGTGATTATCCTTATCCTACTAGGACTGAAAAAAGGTGAGCTACATACACTACACCCAATAGTACAATAGGGAGAAAAGAAACTCAACTAGTAACACCACTTGATAATACACAACTAAATGTGCTATAGAATGCGTGACCATTCATGTGGCAGCTTAAATTATGTCTGACCGTTATTTGGCCCCAAAGAGGCGTATCGGGCCATGCCATCACAAATCTTCAGGCTCTATTCTAGTCTGCTCTATTGTCCAACCACCACTGTTCTACCGAGAGTGTCAGTCAAAGGAAAACACACCAGTAACAACCTTACCGAGTCAATAATTTTATAGAAATAATTTTATTTTGCCAGCCCGCCACACGTAATGTGCACTTTTATTTTGCCAGCCCACCACGCATGTTAAGTGCACTTTTATTTTGCCAGCCCGCCACACATGTATGCATTTTCAGTGAAGCACTGTTCTCTGCAAACTAGACAAATGCTCAGGTGATGCAGCTAGCATTCTGAGACTGGGAATTCACACAGAGTGAGATGTGAACATAAGTCACTGAAGTGTTTGACCCATTTAGGCCACACTAAAGTTGACTTCCGCATAGCGCCACTGTTGTCAAGACAGCTGTCTGTTAGCAGGAGAGCAACTGGGCAAAAGGCCTGTGGAGGTTACACTTTGTTAAACACACCAGGGAGAAGAAATAGACTTGAAGCGTAACAAACATGGGGGGTCTGGTAGGGATGTGTGTCTCACACGTATGTTTGAGTCAGTGTGGACTGAACTCCAAGCTATCTGTTGTGTGAGAGGGGTGAGTGACCAAAGGCTTTCTTTGAGAATTGGCCTTGACCTGTAGCAGCCAAAAAAAAATAAACAGATAAAGTAAACTTTATCTTCCCCTTTTAAAGGAAGGTGATCCGTTGGAAGTTAATAATTATAGGCCAATTTCTAAACTGTGTGTCTTAGCGAAAATCCTAGAAAAAATAGTGAGTGACCAACTTAAGGGGTTTTTAAGAATCAAATCACATATTGTCCCCATTTCAATCTGGTTTTAGAAAACAGCACAGTACTGTTACTGCCACATTAACATTTTTAAATGATGTGATACAGGCATTGGATTGTAAAAAACATTGTGTAGCTTTATTTATTGACCTCTCTAAGGCTTTTGATACTGTTCATCATGTATTACTGATTAACTCGTTAAGGATTGGTTTGTCAGAGGGAGCGATCCCTTGGTTTAGGAATTATCTTTCAAATAGGAGGCAAGCTGTCCAATTGGGAGGTTCTTCCTC